TTTATTTTGTTAATCTGTAAAATATCGATTTGGAATTCTGTAGATTTGTTGCTGAGTGGTTGGAGAGTGTATGGGAATTTTTGATAGTGGTTAGTTTGTAAAATATCGGTTTGGAATTTTGTAGGTTTCGCTTTGCATGATTGAAGAGTGTGAAGTGATACATCCGTGTCTTCGAGTCACTGAACTGAGAGAATTCACTCTCAATGGTAGAAGAAACATGAAGTTTTTCGATGCATTCGACTCAACATGAAATATCTGAATCGAGGCAACAGTTTAGCCGCTAATGATGGTTTTGCAACTGGCCGAGCGATTCTCTCGATTGAAAATATGAAAAAATCCAGACCTTCGGCAAGAAAGAGGCTCATGCGTGGTCGGGCGCATACATGCGTGACGCCTATTCTTTCGTTCAGGTTTTGCAAAGCAGCTGGGAATTATTTCTGGACAAGTTTCACGGGATCCACGCAATACTGTTGCACTTTTTCTACTGTGGAATTTGTGTAACTGAAATCTCCACTGCTTTCATTGTTCTCTCGCATTCTGTGCAACTTTTTGTGCAACTTTCATCTGGGAATAACATCTTTCTGTTTCAAAAATTACTGAATTTCTCACTTTGCAATATTTACATAGTCTAATTCTTGATAAAGTTCCCATTCGTAAAAGAAACTTGGAAAAAATTAAAGTTGGCAACATGTTTATTGCGATTAATATTTAAGAAACGTAGATTCATAATGAAAATAAAAGTTATCTTTCACAACATTTATTCAGTTTACTTATTCTTCTTCTATTGAATTTTGGATATTTCCTACAGTGAATTTTACCATTGGTATTAGAAAAGTCAAATTAAAATTTTGAAAGCTGTCTTTTGATAGTTTCGGTAGAAACAGTGTTAAAGAAACTGATTTAACAACACCCAAACTCAATTGTAAATCAATTGAAGCTTTAAAAAATTGGATTCTTAAATTTTCGTTAAAAAAACTTTTTTGACAGTATAGTTGATTAATTTTGAAAATCAATTATTCAATAGATAACGAATGTCTCTCAGAAAAATTCAATAATAAATCAATTCAAGTTTTAATATATGCACTCCTCGAGTTTCTATAAAGAAATCTCAAAAAGTCCGTTTCACTGCTCGGTAGTTTTAGAGTTAAGTACGTTGAACCCTTTCAGAATTCGAAGGATCCCTGTTTCGCGATGGTACACAGAAAAAGCTGCTTTCAGCAGAACCCACTAGTAAGTGTGTAACAAACGATTCGCCACAGTCAATCACCGAGGATTGATTGTTCCAAGGAGACGCGACAACCTTCGTTCGAATCGGTGTGCCAACGTTCCTCCACTTTTTCCCCTCTCGTTTACGTTAATTGCAATTCGTCCATGGGAGGCGCGAGGCGTGCGTCGAGGCCGTTCTCTCAGAATAATTGAGAAATCATTTAGCAGTAAAGTTTCGATGAAATTGCGATTCTGCGAAACGTATTCGTGATTTGGTCCGTTTTATGGACCTGCTCGTTTCCTTTTTCGCTGCCTCGATGATGGACGAACCGGTGTACAATGGACGAAACCTCAAAATTCGACTCACATTACGAAAATTAAAGGTTAACTGCTGCTAAGTATAGTGCCTCGACATCAGTTTTTTCCACAGGTGTGCTTGTTTGTCAAGATATCTCTCAAATAGATTATATTATTACGTTGTCTTCAATATTATTAGTACGAAGAATCGTTTGTACTGCTTTCTACGAACTATCCATTTTTTAAAACGCATTTCAAATCAAATATTGTAATAATACAGTTATCGAAAACTGCAACAGAAATTCTAAACAACTCATTCATCTCACATTCACTAAACAACTCTCATCAACATAAACAATCAGTTACTAAAACACTCACAAAATACTCCACAAGTGACACTAAAACAATTACCTAAAGCCGAGCATTGAAATGAATAGATGTGTTCAAAGGAAAATACGTCCATGTTTGGACAATTACTAATTTTCATAAATTTCAATTTAATAAACACCGTCCTTCTTAGTTATTAAAGACTTTACTCGTTCCGTCTAGCTCAGAAAACCTTGCTTTTTATATCGTCTGAGAATATTTAAGCTACAAATAGCTTGAAAAACACGAATTTCCTCAATTTCCGTGTTCAGGATTTAACCGTATTGGTTTCCGACCTTCGGACCTTCCGCAACATATTGTTAGATCGCCTCGAGGAATCCCGGAGCTGGCTTCTTTTTCGACGCCAGCAATTATTCCGCGAGCGTCGACCAGTTTTTCGTCGAGCCCGGTGAAAAAGGATGAACGGGGAAGCGTGGTAGCGTGCACCTGACCTCGAAGCCGCGCGGGACCTTTTGAGTGACAAGTGCCGCGAGGAGAAGCGACAGGGCCCAGGCAGACGTAATGTCAATGTCAGCACCTCAGCTGCAGTTGGTGCAGGGTGTGGTCCCCTCCTACGGGTCGTCGACTCCCTACCAGCCGCACATATATAAAAGGAGATGCGTGCTTGGTAAGGGTACGACATAAAAGTTCGTGTACCCCTTAGGGCGAGTCCTGGCCAATCACGCAGCAGCGCTCTTCGGATGCACCATGAAGTGTCTCGTAAGTAATGGACAGTGCAGGCGGCGGATTTGGGGATATCGGGAGTCTCAGCGGCGAGGTAGATGGGAATCGGGAGATTTTGAGTGATCTGTGGGTTTGAGTTGTGGATTTGGCTGGTGACATGGATGAGAATTTAGACTTTGTGGTGAGGTAGA